CTTGTGTTTTCTGGCACCCGCCCACACCCCGGTTGCCTCAATGGGATTATGTAATTTGTGGCCTACATGCTTGTGGTAGACAGATTGCACCGTTTGATCGAGGAATTTCGACAAGGAATCTTTCTCAGCGTGCCGTCCGAGCACCGATGTCAAGTCTTTGATATTTTCCTCACCCCATGTTGTGAATTCATAATCCGTCAGAAACGGCTCTCCATTGCCGGTGGGCTTGTCAACACAAGTCTTTTCCGGCACATGGTCATGGAGAGGGTCATGGTGACGCACTGTATTCTTTGAGCAGTTGGCGCATTTCGAGGGTTCTGGTCCCTTGCAGGTTAGGTGTTTCTTGCTCGGGTGGGCCTTTCATAGCCGAAATGTTGTACTGTACTCGAATTGCTGCCTCAATGGATCAGCCGCGTTGCGGTCGCCCTCGATAGCCACCCGAAGAGCAGCCTCATGTTCACAATCTCAGCCTGCAAACGGAGCAGGTTCCTAGCACTCAAGGGGAGAAATTTTCGGAAGATGCAGAGATCTGGATAAAAGGCCTGAAGACCTGCAATTTCATTGTAGTCATTCATTGTCAGCTTCTCTCTTTAGAACCTGCTACAGTAACACCGTAGGCAAGCAGCACTTCCCCCTGCTTTATGGCCGGGCACGCGACGAAGCCTTCACGCCGCGGAACATTAGGTCCGCCTGGGGCAAGGCGGGCCTCCACCCGTTCAACCCGGAGCGGGTGCAGAATGACATCCAGACAGCACACACCGAGGAAACCCGCCCTCGGAAACAGACCGTGAACGTAGAACTTCCATCGCCGAGTGACCTGCTGACCACCCCTACCAGGTCCACAGTGATCGGAAGGGCTAAAATCATGACTTATGATGACATTTTGGCAGCCCGAAACAAGCGTGCAGCAGATGAATCTGGCATCGCCGGTCGGGCCAGAAAATCTGGCAAACGTCAAAAAACAGGTCCCAAATCTTTTAAGTCTCCTAAACCCTTGTCAAATGCTCCCCTACAAGCCTCTGGGATTCAGTCCAGGAGCCTGGAAATTTATTGTTCGATTTTGCGGTTCTGATTGTCCTTTCAAACTCTCATCGTACCTCCGTAGAATCACCACATCCTGGGTACAGTTCAGTACAGTATCGAGAAGCAGTTCTCGGCAAAAGGAACGCCAAATTTCGTGATCTCGGCTTCGGAGGATTGCATTTCGAGAACGGCGGAGGGGGATAGGTGATATGTTCTCAGTATCGATTGTTTCAATGTGGCTAACCGTTAATAGGCAGGAGACCAAACACCAGAGTTTGCAGATGAGAGGTCGGAATCACACCTGGAGGAAGAAGGCTGAGCTTGTCCCGAGCTCATGCCAATTCAATTTGCTGCAATCCGTACTACAGTAACTTATAATCTCTCGACCATTCAGTTGAAGAAGCCATTTGCAATGACAGTAAGTTGTTTATTCTATGAATGAGCAAGAGCTAACTTAAACGAATGAAACGATCAAAACGAAAGGCAATCGTCTCGCCTGCAAGACCTGTAAGACAGGGGGCTATGAAACGGCGACGAGCCGGAGGTAGATAGAGAAACCCTATTGGCAAGGCTGTGTAGGGCTAACGTTCTGTACAGGCCTTCACGGTGTGAATGCGCGACTACCATCATCGATGGGAATTTGCGGCCGGGCACGGGCTTAGTGTAGCTGCAGCGTACGGGCTCGTCAAGAGCCTCCTTTACATCCTAGCTGCCATTCTGGGGATGGGTTCCAGCTCACCTAATTCAGTGAGTCAAAAGCGACTGGAGATGTCGAGGCTCGAGAATGTGACGCTGGTCGAGATAGTTGCCGCCGATGTAACGCTGACGGTAAACTGTGGCTGCTTCATTCCACTGTCTGTAGGGCAAGAATCCCCGATTTGAAACGCGAAGAAACCGCAGGCAGGATCGACATAAGTTGCATTTCCGGTGAGCGTGTGACTGTCGAATTGGCCTGGGCACTGCGTCAGCCGGATCGTGGCGAGCAGTGTGACACCTACATTCGGAGTTAATCTGTTGAAATATGCTGGAACACTCCGTACAAGAGGGGTCGCTATTTCGTGCCAGAGAGATTTTGTTTTGGGGGTCGAGATCATATATTCCGCACGACCAATTTTCATTTTGTGCACAGAACCAATCGGCGGCGCCCAACAGCTTATCCGCCAGGAAACCCGTATTCGCGTTAGGATAACAGGAAATCTTGGGCTGGCTAGGGTCGGATTTGGTGGAAGCGAAAACATTATATGCCGATAGGATGGTAAATAGCACTGAAAACGGGAAGGAGCTCCGCATCTCTGCAGCAGTGAAGTTACCTTGTTGTTGTCACCAGGCTTGTAGCGTATTGATTTACTCTAGAAGGCGAAGGGATCGTTTTAACTTATGTATTTCGTTGTAGGATGAGCAAAGTGACTTTCAGATATAAAAAGCAAAAGCGACGTCTCAACTGGGGAAAAAAAATTCGAACAGGAAA